TGTACTAACCCATTTGATTCTATAGTAGATTTCCCTTTCAGTCTCTGAACATTTCCACAGAACTTAGTAACTTCTTCATTGATTTTTTTCTTAAATAAAATCAATGAACTGACATTATAAAGTTTAAAATTCACAGTAGTGTAAAAACAGAATGTTTAGAAACTTCTTTGCACTCCATTCCGTTCTCTGCAGAAGTAAACAATTGCCAATATATTCTTGTTTATCCTCCAGAACTCCATTTATATATGAGAATCGTGTTATACAAAATGTTCAACAGCACAGTCCATGTACTTAACATACATCAAAATGTTAAATTTGGAAAACTATCCCCACTGAAGACCAGGGGGATCTTCCTAAAACACATTTAAAAATGTCAAAGAGGCCTGACCAGTTTGGCTCAGTGGCTAGAGCGTCAGCCTGTGGACTGAAGAGTCCCAGGTTCAATTCCGGTCAAGGGCATGTACTTTGGTTGCGGGCACATCCCCAGTAGGGGGTGTGCAGGAGGCACATGATGGATGTTTCTCTCTCATGAATGTGTCTAACTCTCTATCCCTCTCTGTAAAAAATCAATAAAATATATATTTTAAAAAAATGTCAAAGAGGTAAAGACATTATAGAGGTGGAGAAAGTACAAGAAATTTGAAATATTTCCACATTAGGATATTTTTAAAAAATATATTTTATTGCTTTCTTTTTTAAGAGGAAGGGAGAGGGATAGAGAAACATCAATCAGCTGCCTTCTGCACACCCCCTACTGGGGATGTGCCCACAACCAAGGTACATGCCATTGAATTGAACCTGGGACCCTTTAGTCTGCAGGCCAATGCTCTATCCACTGAGCCAAACCGGTTAGGGCTAGAATTTTTTTTATTTATTTACTTTTATTTATTTATTTATTTTTTAAAATATATTTTATTGATTTCTTACAGAGAGGAAGGGAGAGGGATAGAGAGCCAGAAACATCCATGAGAGAGAAACATGGATCAGCTGCCTCCTGCACGCCCCCCACTGGGTATGTGCCCGCAACCAAGGTACATGCTCTTGACCGGAATCGAACCCGGGACCCTTGAGTCCGCAGGCCGAAGCTTTATCCACTGAGCCAAACCGGTTCTGGCTAGAATTTTTTTTAAAGAATGTTTTTATTGACTTTAGAGTGAGGAAGGGAGAGGGAGAGAAACACCCATCAGCTGTCTCCTTCATGCCCTCTACTGGGGATGGAGCCCAAAACCCAGGCATATGTCCTGACCAGGAATCAAACCAGCAAACTCTTGGTGCATGGGATGACGCCCAATCAACTGAGCCACGTCGGCCAGGGCCACATTAGAATTTTAATAGAGAAAATTAGGAGTACATAAACATTACATATGAAACACAAATTGACATAGCCTAAATGAAAATGCCTGAGGGAATAAAGTACAAATTCAAGCTTAGAAATTTAGGTACTGGTACTTGATGAAATCACATTATTTCCCAGCAATTCAGTTTCCTCATTTGTGGTTTAGAGTGATAATCAAGTGAGTCAATAAATGGATATATGTATATAAACATACATAAATAATAATATATAAAAATTCTATATACTGCCCAGTGCTATCAAAAATACCGATGTTCTCTTCTTAATTTCTTTCAATCACGTTTCTTTCTGCCAAAGAAAGAAAAGACAAATATCAAAATATATTCAGTATCTACAGAATGAAAAAGATAAAATTATTAATTATATACTGTAATCAACAACAAAAAATAATGGCCCTGGACAGTTTGGCTCAGTGGATAGAACATTGGCCTGTGGAATGAAGGGCTCCAGGTTCAATTCCAGTCAAGGACACGTACCGTGGTTGCAAGCTCCTCCCCGCCTGGGCCCTGGTCAGGGAGTGTGCAGGAGGCAACCAAGTGATGTGTTTCTCCCACATCGATATTTCTCTCTGTCTTTCCCTCTCTCTTCCACTCTTTCTTTTTTTTTTTTTTTAAATATATTTTATTGATTTTTTACAGAGAGGAAGGGAGAGAGATAGAGAGTTAGAAACATCAATGAGAGAGAAACATCGATCAGCTGCCTCTTGCACATCTCCCACTGGGGATGTGCCCGCAACCCAGGTACATGCCCTTGACTGGAATCGAACCCGGGACCCTTCAATCCACAGGCCGACGCACTATCCACTGAGCCAAACCGGTTTCGGCTCTTCCACTCTTTCTAAAAATCAATGAAAAAATATCCTCAGATGAGGATTAAAATAATGATAATAATAAATATAAAGAAAAACCAAGATGGTGGCATAGGTAAACACCGGAAATTGCTGCCTCTCACAACCAATTCAAAAATACAATGAAAAGACAAAATGGACATCATCCAGAACCACAGGAAGGCTGGCCGAGTGGAAATTCTACAACTAGAAGGAAGAGAAAAGCACACTGAGACTCAGAGGAGGTGCGGTGTGGAAGTAAAGTGCAGAGGTACGGAGGCGCACGTGGAAAGGGCTGGCAACTAAGGACGCGGCTATCTTTTTCAATCCGGAGGGAGACACAAGCTCCCGACTGCTCTGAACTCCAGTTTCGGGTGAGTCTCTGGGGACCCAGACTCATACGGGGAGAAACTGGACTGTCTGGCATCGGTCAGAATTCGGAACTCGAGGGCGGCTTTCTCTCAGAGGTGCTTGCAGCAATTACCATGGAACAGTGAGATGCGGGGCCCCTTAGGGCAGGGCTGAGGATCAGCCATAGCTGTTTGCTCCGCCCTGTTGATTACCTGAGATCCTGCCCCACCCAAGCTGTGTGCAGAGGCTTTTGCATATGAATTCCCTGGCCCTTTGTGATCTAAAATTACCTAACTAACTGCAGCTGGGCCAGACAGACCCAGAACTTCCAAGAGAAGGCCCAGGTCCCACAGCAGCTTGCATTGCTTCACAGCTGGACCTCATCTGTGCACCTCCAAACTCCAAACAAATAAGAGGAATCTGCAGATCTCTCCATAGCTCCTGCTGGGTAGCCTCATGCAGAGGCTAAATTAGGACCTCCTTAGAGATCCAAGGGCCAGTATACCCAGTGGTCAGAGTGGACCATCCAGATTACAACTCCTCAGATCCATAAGGGACACACTCAGGGGGCAGACTCAGTGAGCACCAAAGCCCCACTGAAGCAAGTCTTGCCCCATAAGGGTGTCTCCAGCACAGAAGTTCTCCCACCATAACCACAGCTGATTCTCACAGCCAATTGGCCTGGAGGTCAATTCCTCCCAGTGATACCTACAACAATCAAGGCTTAACTACAACAAGACTGCACAAAGCCCACAAAGGAGTGCACCAAGAGTGTCCACCTCAGGTAATTGGGGAGGTTGAGCCACTGGGCCCTATAGGACACCTAGCACACAAAGCCACTCTATCAACAGAGGGAAGCAGCCAAAATGCGGAGACAAAGACACAAGTCACAAATGACAGAAATGGAGGAAAGCAAACTACTGGATATAGAGTTCAAAACCACACTTTTAAGGTTTTTCAAGAATTTTCTAGAAACCGCCAATAAATTTAGTGAGACCCTTGAGGATATGAAAAAGGACCAACTAGAAATTAAGCATACACTGATTGAAATAAAGAATATTATACAGAGACCCAACAGCAGACTAGAGGATCCCAAGAATCAAGTCAAAGATTTGAAATACGAAGAAGCAAAAAATACCCAACCAGAAAAACAAAAAGAAAAAAGAATCCAAAAATATGAAGATAGTGTAAGGAGCCTCTGAGACAACTTCAAGCATACCAACATCCGAATTATAGGGGTACCAGAAGGAGAGAGAGAGAGCAAGATATTGAAAACCTATTTGGAGAAATAATGACAGAAAATTTTCCCTACCTGGTGAAAGAAATAGACTTCCAAGTCCAGGATGCTCAGAGAACCCCAAACAAAAGGAATCCAAAGAGGACCACACCAAGACACATCATAATTAAAATGCCAAGAGCAAAAGACAAAGAGAGAATATTAAAAGCAGCAAGAGAAAAACAGTTAGTTACCTACAAGGGAGTACCCATACGACTGTCAGCTGATTTCTCAACAGAAACTATGCAGGCCAGAAGAGAGTAGCAAGAAATATTCAAAGTGATGAATAGCAAGAACCTACAACCAAGATTACTTTACCCAGCAAAGCTGTCATTCAGAATTGAAGATCAGATAAAGAGCTTCACAGACAATGAAAAGCTAAAGGAGTTCATCACCACCAAACCAGCATTATATGAAATGCTGAAAGGTATCCTTTAAGAAGAGGAAAAAGAAGCAAAAGGTAAAGATACAAATTATGAACAACAAATACATATCTATGAACAAGTGAATCTAAAAATCAAGTGAATAAATAATTTGATGAACAGAATAAACTGGTGAATATAATGGAATCAGGGGCATAGAAAGGGAGCAGACTGACAATTCTCAGGGGGGAAGGGTTGTGGGGGGTTCAGGAAGAGACATCATACACCTATGGATGAGGACAGTGGGGAGGGGGTAAGAGCAGAGGTTGGGGTGGGAATCGGGTGGAGAGGAGCTATGGAGGGAAAAAAGAGGAACAACTGTAATAATCTGAACAATAAAGATTTAATTTTAATAAATAAATAAATTGTAAAAAATATATATATAAAAATAAAATGCTTTAAAAATATATAATGGCTACAGTTGTATATTTGCTAATATGTCTACATGGTAAATAGTGGAATGATCATGTACCTCTGCATTTTTGTGTGTTGAGTAGAGTGAAAAATAGGGCAGTAAATGGCTCTTTGCCACTGGCTAGAAACATGAACATGTTTATGGGATAGCCAATAACTGTGAATACAATCTATCCCCCAAAGTCAATATGCACAGTATGGTAAAAGCAGGTTTACAATTGTGAGTATGAAAAACACAATTTATTCTTGTATTATTATTTAGTAACTATTGTATTATCTTTCATACGAACAACTGTAAACCTAGTTTTGCCAAACCCTGTATTCCATTTTCACTTTCTTACAACTTAATGTTCTTACCTCTTGAGCTCGCTCTTGTATTTTCGCTTATACATTTCTTGTTTGAATTTCTTTCTCTTTTTAAAAAACCATTGATTTACCTGCAAAGAGAGAGAGAGAGAGAGAGAGAGAGAGAGAGAGAGAGAGAGAGGAGGTGATTAATCCAAAAATAAGGGTATTGGCTTAAATAGGTAATAGTACTATATAAGTGAATCTGTGAATAAAGAAATATATTGGTCCTAGCTGGTTTGGCTCAGTGGATAGAGCCTCGACTTGTGGACTCAAGGGTCCTGGGTTCGATTCCAGTCAAGGGCACATGCCTGGGTTGCGGGCTCGATCCCCAGTGCGTGGCGTGCAGGAGGCAGCCAATCAATGATTCTCTTTCATCATTGATGTCTCTCTCTCTCTCTCTCTCTCTCCTTTCCTCTCTGAAATCAATTAAAAAAAATTTCTTTTAAAAAAGAAATACGTTGTCCTACCTGTTTTTCTGTCATGTTAAATTCAAATGCAAGCGATAGACTATGTCCTTTTGTGGGGCATTTGTTTAACTTAAACGTTGCCCAGAGAGTGTCCATGAGGGGCTTGCTGACTAATCTTTTCTCCGGATATTCTTCCTCACATTCCATTTTTTCTTCTTTTTTCTCTTCCTCCTGTTCCTCTTCCAGTTTCTTTTTACCATCCTTTTCCATTTCTTCTTCCATTTCTCCTTCTCCTTCTCTCCATTTTTTATTTTTCCTTCTTTCATCTTTACTATGATTCCTATTGGATTGCTCTGGATTTTTATCACAGGGCATAACTGGTTGCTTCTGTATAGCAAGATCTGTGGGGGGGAAATCAAACTGCAGTTAAATTTGACTTTCAGATTATAGTCAACATTCTTCAGTGTGAGAATATATTTGATTTTCTTTCAGAGAGAGAGACTATAATGTGAGAGAAACATCATCTGATTGCCTCCCATGGGGGACTGAACCTGCAACTTGGGCTTGTGCTCTGACTGGAAATTGAATCAGCAACCTTTTGGTGCACAGGACTACGCTCAACCAACTAAGCCATACCACCCAGGGCAACAAATTTTTTTGGAAGTATGACCAACATTTAAAAATAATGAGATTAAGCCCGGTTCGTGTGGCTCAGTGGTTGAGCATCAACCTATGAACCAGGAGGTCACTGTTTGATTCCTGGTCAGGGCACATGACGGTTGTGGGCTGAATCCCCAGTGTGGGATGTGCAGGAAGCATCCAATGAATGATTTTCTCTCATCATTGATGTTTCTATCCTCTCTCCCTCTCCCTTCCTCTCTGAAATAAATACAAAAATATTTTTAAAAAATCATGAGACTCAACATCAAACTTCAAATTTCCAAATTAAAAAAAATCTTAAATCGGTAGTCCTAAATTCCCATCTATAATAATAAAAGGGTAACATGCTAATTAGTCCGGACATCATTCTGGATGTCCTTTCTGACCAACTGGGGCCAGAGGGAAGCCAGCCTGGGTCCTGGGTGCCTGTAGGTGGCCTGAGGGAAGGTAGTCCGGGTCCCGGTGTCAGAGGGAAGCTGGTGCGGCAGCCAGGGGAAGGAAGGCCTACTCTTGCACGAATTTCTTGCACCGGGCCCCTAGTGTAATCAATAATTGGCTGGCTCCAGTGGATAGAGTGTCAGCGTGTGGACTGAAGGGTTCCAGGTTTGATTCTGGTCAAGGGCACCTACCTTGGTTGCAGGCGCTTTTGGGCCCTGCACGTGCAGGAGGCACCAATCAATGTGTTTCTCTAACATCGATATTTCTCTCTGTCTGTCCCTCTCTCTTCCACTTTTTCTAAAAAATCAGTGGAAAAATATCCTCGGGTAAGGATTTTAAAAAAAGAAAAAAAGAAAAGTAACTGGAGAATTGATTAGAGCTGTTCTAAGCTGGAGACCAGTCAGAAGGCTGAAATCTTTTCCAACTCAAGCTAAGGGTTTTATACTAAACTAGAGGCCCAGTGCACGAATATGTGCACAAGTGGGGTCCCCAGAGGGGTGGGGCCGGGACATGATCAGCCCTCTGGGAGGGACGCCCTTGCCGGCCCAGGATCTGGATCCGTCACACTGACATTCACCCCGGTTGTTGGGAGCCACCTGGCGGTCACTTTTATATCCTTTCTTCCTTGCAGAGCATCTAGGGAGGGGAAGCAACCCCGGTGCCTGAGGTCGACTTCTAGGAGGCCAGGGATGCTGGCAGAATTGTGCCAGTGGTACTGGTCTGTCTGTGCCTGGCCCATTTTCTGGAGATTGGATCTGCAGAACTACTGAGGGAGGGAGTGGCTGCTGCCCAGCCGGTGGGCACTCCCAATGTGGGAGTGCACTAACCACCAGGGGGCAACCCCTGTGTTAAGTGTCTGCCCCCTGGTAGTCAGTGCGTGTCATAGCCTCCAACCCATTGGTCGACCGGTTGAAATGGTCACTTAGGCTTTTATTTATATAGATATTTAAGACTATTAAATGACCAACTTTAAGTACTGATACTTGAAGGGTTTAAGTGATGAGATAAACTATAGAGTAGAGAACAAATTGGATTAAAGAGATTTAGAGGCAGACCAATTATCCCTTGGTAGTGGAAATTATAGAAATGATGGTATTAAGAACTAAGGTAAATGTCATCTATATCTTGAATGTCAATGAGCCAAAGAAATAGCACCCAGTGTTAGAGTGGGCAAGCAGTATAAAGATTAAGTTCACAGAAATAATGTATTTCCAAAAGGCATTTGAAAACTGATTAATATCAATTTTGATCAAGATGAAAAGCTAAATCTTAAATGAGATGTATCTATACTGATATAAAATACTATTTGCAGTATGTTGCAACTTTTATAAATAAATTAATCAATTCAATAAAATATTGACCACTTACCATGTAGATGGCAAAATTGCTTAAAGAGCAGAGAGGTAGAAAAGGCCATTAGATTTTCAAAATGTATTTCTTCCTATCACTCCTAAAAATATTGAAGAGACAAACTATGAGCCAAATTAAATAGTATGTCAGTAGCCAATCTTCTGAGAAGGCCCGCTGGCACAACTCTGCCTCTTACTCAAGCAGACCACGTAAATGGGGCTTTCACTTGCTTCTGTTCCAGGGGCCACACATCTTTACTACTTTTGCTCTGGTATTACAGAAAACTATGTGATTTATAATAAGAAATATATACTTGGTTTGTATTTCATTCCTGGCCCAGAGCTCCTAAAATCCATGGAATTTTCTAATAAGAATGTTAAGGCATCTTTCTTTTGTTATGTTACTGAGGTGATTGGAATGGTTTTAGGTAATCTGAATGTGGACTGGTTGCTAGGGAAACCAACCTTCTGATTAGAGGGTTGGAACTTTCAGTCCCAACCTCTGACTGACCTCCAGTAGGGGAGAGGGACTGAAGATTGAGTTCAATCACCAATAGCCAATGATCTAATCAATTATGCCTGTGAGTCATGCCTCCATAAAAACCCAAAAGGATGATATTTAGAGTTTCCAGGTTAGGGAACCAGAAGTATCCATGTGCCTCTGTGCAGGGCCCTAAACCACAGAAGCTTCTTTGTTCTGGACCTCTTTCTATGTTGACTTCATCTGCTGTTGACTCATATTCTTTAATAGCCTTGTAATAAACTAGTAAGTAAATGAATTTCCCGAGTCCTGTGAGGCACTCTAACAAATTAATCAAACTCAAGAAGAGGGTTATGGAAACCTCTGATTTGTAGATGGTTCGTCAGAAGCACAGGATTTATGATGTGTGATTGGCATCTGAATTAGTGATCAGTCTTGTAGAAATTAAGCCTTAACTTGTGGAATCTGATGCTATTTTTATTTTTTCAAATATATCTTTATTGATTTCAGAGAAGATAGAAACATCAATGATGAGAGAGAATCATTGATCAGCTGCCTCCTGCATGTCCCCTACTGGGGATTGAACCTGCAACCCGGGCATGTGCCCTTGACCAGAATTGAACCTGGGATCCCTCAGTCTGCAGGCCAACACACTATGCACTGAGCCAAACCAGCTAGGGCCCTGATGCTGTTTCTAGATTGATAGTGTCATAATTGAGTTGTAGGACACCCAGCTGGTGTCAGACGATTGCTTGATGAGGGGGGAAAAACTATACATTGGAACTGGTGCAAATTTGTACTATGTATGCATTTTTGATGTCTAATGTTAATTCTATATACTCATTTGCACAGTGTAATTAGAGGGAATTCAAACTTGTGGAATGGAGGGTAGATTTTATGAGAACATGTTCAGGTGGCAAGTTTAAAGGTATAATTCTAAATATGTAATCAAATGCAAACTTACCTTTTATATTTGTTTTGGTGTTTTATCAGAGGCCTCCAAAACTGCCGGGGTCCAGCCCCAGCAGTCCAGGGGTTCTCAAAGGTGTGGACGGAGTCAGCAAAGAATGAAGGACATGGAGACAGCGTTCAGATGATCAGCATAGCCAGGTTCTCTCTTTATTCTCCTGTTACATCTGTATTTATACCATTTGATCCTATAAGCATGCCTCTATAGTCACATCATGGTATGTTTTGGGTCCTCCCTTGATCTTCTACAGTTCCTTGTTCCATGTCCATAGTTTCTTATCTGACCTTTGCCAAAAATCCTATCGCCATCTAGTTTGTTGATTTTAATCCTATCCATTCTATTCCAAAGGTGTTATCTCCATTCCAAGGTCACTTCTCTACTGTTCTGTTAAGCTACAAGGAAGTAACTAAAGGAGATTATCCTAAGTAAAGATTATGTAGCGTAAGCGTGAATGTTCATAGTTAAGGTGATTAACTACCCACCTGGCACTTAGTTAAGAGGTTTTACTGATTTATTCCCTTCTTTAGTTCTGTTAATCCCTAACTCCAGGGAAACATTCCCACCTGGGGAAACAACCTTTCTCGGAGAGGTGACCCTGGTTAAAACACATAGCACTAAGAAGGGGAGCAAACATATTAAGAACAGTATGCCATATACGCCAGGTCCCTTGAAACATATGCTGTGCAGATGTTTCTTCCCTGCAGCAACTGTGTCAAACAGCAAGGATGGACCTGCTTCCGGCACAAAACTCTGAACAGGAGGGGACAGATGCTCTAGTAAGACATGTTAAGAGATTATGAGCCCTAGCCAGTGTTTCTCAGTGATTAGAATGTTGGCCTGAGCACCGAAGGGTATTAGTTTTAATTCCCGGTCAAGGGCATGTACCTAAGTTGCAGGTTGGATCCTCAGCAACCAATCAATGTGTCTCTCTCACATCACTCTCTCTCTCTCTCTCTCTCTCTCTCTCTCTCTCTCTCTCTCTCTTTCTCTCTCCATCCTTCCCTCCCTTCCACTCTCTCTCTAAAAATCAATGGGAAAAAAATATCCTCAGGTGACGATTCACAAGAGAGAGAGAGTTATGAAACAGATTTTTTTATTATTAGCTTACCACCCACCTAAAGTGTCTATGCCCTAACTGGTTTAGCTCAGTAGATAGAGCATCGGCCTGCAGTCTAAAGGGTCCCAGGTTCAAGGGCATATACCTTGGTTGTGGGCACATTCCCCAGTAGGGGGTGTGCAGGAGGCAGCTGATTGATGTTTCTCTCTCATTGATGTTTCTAACTCTCTATCCCTCTCCCTTCCTCTCTGTAAAAAAAAAAATCAATGAAATATATTTAAAAAAATAAAGTGTCTATAAGTGGCAAGGAGAGTGATCAAGAAAGGTAATAGAATTTCTTTAAAGAGAGATTGGTGGTGGGCTCTCCCTTCTTTCTCTGTTGCACACACCAGCTTCACTCTGGTGGGAGAAAATGTTGCCACTTTGTCAATCTCAGCCAAGTGCAGAGAGTTTCTAGAATCATGTATAGAGTTTTGACTTTTGTGTTTGAGAATACACAGAAACTAGCACCTAACTCACTCTGGACAATGGGAGACAATAGGGAGCTGTCCATGGTAGTGAAGTGTGGATGGACGTTCTTACTGGTAGTGGCTTCAGTAGAAAGCTGATCAGGGTAGGTAAAGCAGATGTATAACAATTTGACAGGGGCAGGAATGTAGGACTTTGTCCTTTTTCTTTAATCTGCCTATCATCTCCCTGAGCCAGACCCTGTCAGAAAGGAGCAGCACCAGGGCTCTCATAATTTTGTAATGCATTTCCTGTGATATTTTTGAAATTTCTTTTGATTATAAAAGGAATTTCTCCCCATGGCTGACCAGTCTATTGCTTGTACAACGTGTTAAACCTTAGACAAAGAATTCTCTTGACAATCTTAATAAGACACTGATTTAAATGGAAAATTCCTTAAAAGTCTGAACTTTGAGGTCCAACATCCTTGGGAATACAAGTAGACAGCACATTTAGGCACCATTCCCTGCTTCAAATCTGCTCATATCTCTGCAATCTTAGTATCAGCCATCTGTACTGCATAGTAAGATTAAGGAATCAACTAACTCTACATATTTTAACTTTATTAATTAAGCTGAGATTGACAAACATGTAAAGCCAACAGAAATTCTGCAGTTTTGGACTTCCTTCAGGATGGAAAAGGTTGAATCATCACTATTTCCACCTTGACCTGTGGCCAATGTATTACTTTCTTTTCTTTTTTTTTTTTTAAATCTTCCCCCTAGACCAGTGATGGCGAACCTCTGACACGCGTGTCAGAGGTGACACGCAAACTCATTTTTTTGGTTGATTTTTCTTTGTTAAATGGCATTTAAATATAGAAAATAAATATCAAAAATATAAGTCTTTGTTTTACTATGGTTACAAATATCAAAAAATTTCTATATGTGACATGGCACCAGAGTTAAGTTAGGGTTTTTCAAAATGCTGACACGCCGAGCTCAAAAGGTTCACCATCACTGCCCTAGACTGTTATTTTCTTAAATTATATTTTCAAGTCAAAACATTGTCCCACCAACCCCTCTCCCCCATGAAAACCTGACAAAAACTGAACTATTGTGATTGAAGTGTGAAAATTGGCTAGAGACTTTTGGAACTCCTAGGTATTCCAATAGCATAGCTACCTCACAAAACTGAGGTGTCCAACAAACAAATGTTTACTTTTCCCTGACCTTGTGTTGAGAGGTGTTGAGGTCCTGCCCCAGCAGGTCCAGGGGTTCCCAAAGGTGTGGATGGAGTCGGCGAAGAAGGAATGACACGGAGACAGCATTCAGTTGATCAGCATAGCGAGGTTCTCTAGCCAGGTTCTCCAGCCAGGTTCTCTCTTTATTCTCCTGTGACATCTGTATTTATACCATTTGATTTTAATCCTTTCTATTCCAAAGGTTAGGGTGTTTGTTATCTCCATTCCAAGGTCACTACTCTACTGTTCTGTTAAGCTACAAGGAAGTAACTAAAGGAGATTATCCTAAGTAAAGATTATGTAGCTTAAGCGTGATTGTTCATAGTTAAGGTGATTAACTACCCGCCTGGCACTTAGTTAAGGGGTTTTACTGATTTATTCCCTTCCTTAGTCCTGTTAATCCCTAACTCCAGGGAAAAATTCCCAACTGGGGGAACAACCTTTCTCGGAGAGGTGACCCTGGTTAAAACACATAGCGCTAAGAGGGGGAGCAAACGTATGCCATATACGCCAGGTCCCTTGAAACGTATGCTGTGCAGATGTTTCTTCCCTGCAGCAACTGTGTCAAGCAGCAAGGGTGGACCGGCTTCCGGCAGAGAGGAAGCATCAAGCAGTCTGGAGTATGAATATTATCTTTTATGAATTTAATTTGCAGTATCTATTGTGATCTTCCAGCAACTATTTTAGCCCTCAGGTAGAGACACTAAATAGACCCTGCCAGAAGCCGGTCCATCCTTGCTGCTTGACATAGTCGCTGCAGGGAAGAAACATCTGCACAGTGTATGTTTCAAGGGACCTGGCATATATGGCATACTGTTCTTAATATGTTTGCTCACCTTCTTGGCGCTATGTGTTTTAACCAAGGTCACCTCTCCGAGAAAGGTTGTTTCCCCAGGTAGGGATTTTTCCCTGAAGTTAGGGAGGGAATAAAACCCGTTAACTAAATGCCAGGTGGGTAGTTAATCACTTTAACTCCGAACAATCACCCTTAAGCTCCATAATCTTTACTCCCTGGAATGGAGATAAGAAATGCCCTAACCTTTGGAATAGAAATTGACAGGATTAAAATCAACTGGTATAAATACAGATGTAACAAGACAATAAAACACAGAGTACTTGGCTGGAGATCCTAGACAGAACTTGGCTGGAGTTCCTGGCTAGGCTGCTGATCAACTGAACGCTGTCTCCATGTCATTCCTTCTTCACCAACTCTGTCCACACCTTTGGGGACCCCTGGACCTGCTGGGGCTGGACCCCAACAAGACCCCGTTCTAGTTAATGGCTTGCCATATCTAAGAACTTACTTAGAAAGTGGGATTCTCTATACTCTCATATCGCTTAAAAGAGGGTATTTATTCCATATTCCCAAATCTGGGACTTTATCTGACGTAGTGTCAAGATACAAAGTCTCCTTCATTCACATTATGCTCTTGATGGGGTTCGGGACATGCTACCCCCATATATGGTACCTTGGCATATTAAATATTTTAAACTGAAAGAGTGAGGAAAAAAACCCAGAAACTGAAAGGGCCTACCTTCTCCTTTCTTTCTTGAAACAGGTTATAAGCTGTCCTGTGACAGGCACCCTCCATATACCTGGAGGAAAGGACCATGCTTACCTCTGAAGACAAAGGGATGCCAAAAAGAATCTGAATAAACAGTCCTTGCTCAGTTTTCCCAAGTTAACTACAGGTACTTCATACTCCTTAACCCATAATATTCTTCCACAACTGTACACTCTTCATTTAACCTAGCCTAAAAACACACTGGTCGGTTTCTTTGGGTCTTCATTTACTTATGAAATCTCCCGTGTCACAGAAAACTTATGTTAAATAAATTTGGATACTTTTCTCTGGTTAATTTGTCTTTGCCAGTTTAATTTTCAGAGCCATCCAGGGACCCTAAGAGAGTTGAGGAAACATATCTCCTTATCTACATCCTGTTACTTAGACTCTAAACTGCTTCTCCATATCCAAATGGTCTTTGATCTATGTGCAATGGAGAAGAGGAGTGGGGCAAAGTTAGTTCTGCTTAGTAATATCTCATTTAAAATATTTTGTATCCTTAAACCAGTTTGCATATATTACATCAAGAATATTATCTTTGGTACCAGAACTTTTCAGTAGTGTTTTTCTTGTCCAGATTGTCATTCCGGGCAGTTCACAGTTCAAGTAGTGTGAACTGTAGTGAACACTTGCCCAAGCAGTGAGGATCCTGCAGTTCATTTTTAGAAAGGTCTTGACCAGTCCTGGTAGGTTAGAAATGGGGGCACTTTGTGTGGGACTTGTCCCTGAAAACAAGTAAAAATGGCATGTAAAAGCTGTACAGTATGAGATGATATTATCCCTGGTTCCTTGCATTGTAATTTGATGAAGGCTGTGGTTCGGGAGCAAACAATTTCATGGGCCTTTGATAATACATCGTAACCTAGTTTTCAGATTTGGTGTGACTGGCTCTCAGGACCCAGGGAGGCTGCCCAAAGATATCCCACAAAGTCATACTGATTACTTTGAATGGGAGTAACTTACCAGTAAGAAACTGCCCGCAAGAAGAAAATGCTGACCTACCTGTCTCCCTAAGAGCAGGAGATAAGTCTCCATCTGATAGGTGCTTCCTGCTCCTAAGGGCTGAGAGACAACCTTATCACAAGAACTAAAAGAATCCAAAGTCAAATGGTGTATAAACAGGCCTTGTAAACCTTTACTAATTTACTGCACAAGCCCAGTCATTGCTTAGATTCCTTTCTAGATTCCTTTCTAATGAGCGCTTTTCTTTGTTCTGTCAAAGCCATGGAACAAATATCCTCAGGTGAAGATTAAAAAAAAAACAACCCAAACTTTAACACTTTCCAGATTTAAAATGAAACAAATTTTGTAGGTTTACATTTTATAACATGTTCTAAGGGCCTTGAGAATCAATTCATAAAAGAAATTTCATTGGCCTTTTTTTAAAAATACATTTTTATTGATTTTTTACAGAGAGGAAGGGAGAGAGATAGAGAGTTAGAAACATCGTGGAGAGACATCGATCAGCTGCCTCCTGAACACCCCCCACTGGGGATGTGCCCGCAACCAAGGTACATGCCCTTGACTGGAATCGAACCTGGGACCCCTCAGGCTGCAGGCTGACGCTCTATCCACTGAGCCAAACCAGTTAGGGCTTCATTTGCCTTTTTAAAAATATATATATTTTTTATTGATTTCAGAGAGGAAAGGAGAAAGAAAGAGAGAGAGAGAGAGAAACATCAATGATGAGACAAAATCACTGATCGGCTGCCTCCTGCACGCTCCCCACTGGAGATGGAGCCCACAACTTGGGCATGTGCCCTGATCAGGAATAAACCATGACCTCTTGGTTCATAGGTTGATGTTCAACCATTGAGTCACACTGGCCAGGTTCATTTGCCTTTTGATGTTTACATTATATTTTGCATCGCCCAACACCTTTAACAATAATCTTCAGGGTTTTTCTTTGCTCATCCCAGAGGTTTTACTTCATATATAATTAGCTGAGGATCTTTTATGTTATAAAACATATTACAGCTATAAAAGGCTTCAATCTTCTAAATTATATTCTATGGTATCTGCTCTATCAATATGAAAAAGAAACACTTTTTTGGCGTTTTCTGGTGAATAGAGTATTATAAAATGAGCAGAAGTGTAAGATATGCTCTTGCCAAAATTCAGTAGGTCTGAACATTTCTTTTCCTTTGAGGACCTGATTAGGATCAGAAGTTATTTTCTCCCTGCCTGGGGGTTTGCCAGTATAGAAACAACCTAACGGGATTCCCGGAAATTTAATTGATGCTTAGTAATTTGTTAGAGGCAGGTACTACTAGATGTTCTTATTTTACAAGTCTAATTAGACCTTTTTTTTGAAGAAAAGAACACCACTACCTGAGGATGTTGTATAGATACACCTTTAGATTTTTTTGACTGTCAAAATGGGGAAGGGCTGCTGACCCCCCTTGCCCCCAGGTCAGTAGGCCAGGACACCTTGGCCTTGCTCTTAGGGGGCCTAGAGACAGAGTTTAGCGCTGCCCTGTGGGGTTCCTCTTCTGTGCTTGCCTGCACCCACTCCCATTCTGGGGCACAGCTTGTTTCACACATCTCTGACCGTCTCCCCGTCTCTCTAGTGGTCCTTGCAGACGTGACTGGCTCTGAGCTGTGCACCACAGGGACAAGGACTGAGTGGGCTTGTGCACTGGGCTTCGTTAGCTCCCAGACAGGGCCAGTCCTATCATCTGCTCCTCCCAGTGACTAAGCTCCTGGTGATGAGTCGATTTTGATAGATTCCCCTTTGATCAACACTCTCCTCTATCTTTTACTCTAAAAAGGGACCTGGGAACTATATGTCCTGCCTTTCCCAGCTTTGAAGTCACAGAAATCGTGGTCACAGCCCAGATCCTACCCTGACCTAATCCCCCTTCAACCCTCCCCCAGTTCCTCTAATCTACCATAATTTGAAATCTCAACAAAATCTGAAATAAGACCATATTCCCTTAATTTCTATCTATGAAGGCCAATCTCTTACATTATATAAAAGGGATACTTATTAAACACTTATTAAACACATTAATTGCATTATTTCAATGCCATTTTTATTTATTACTTTAGATATATTTACTATTCAGAATATATAATTTTATTTAGTATAAAAATATTAAAACTTATAGTTATGCTTTGTGTATACATGCACCCATTCATTTGATCAAAAATTGTGTAGAAATTAACAAAACCTGTGTGTATATGTTGCTTATACACAAAAACATCTGCTTTGGCTCATTTTTTCTGGCCAGTAAGACACGCCAGCAGATTATTTCATGCCTCATAATCTTTTCAATGCAAATTTTCTCAGACATATCACACTCAAGCACCTGTCAAAGTTTATTTACTCCTTCATGAGGAACCTTCATGAAGAGCAAGGAGAGAGTGTGCTTACTCACAGTGACTGGAGAAATGAGAAGGTTTATATACTTTCAGTAAGGAGTTAATACATACAGCTTCTCCACTGAGCACAAATTATGATTGACTACTGCTGTTTTATTTGTCATAGTCATAAAAATATCATGTTTTTGCCCTACCTGGTTTGGCTCAGTGGATAGAGTGTCGGCCTGCAGACTGAAGGGTCCCAGGTTCGATTCCGGTCAAGGGCACGTGCCCAGGTTGCAGGCTCAGTCCCCAGTGGGGGGCGTGCAGGAGGTAGCCAATCGATGATTCTCTCTCATCATTGATGTTTCTTTCTCTTTCTCCCTCTCCCTTCCTCTCTGAAATCAATAAAAAAATATATATATTTTTAAATGTCATTTTTTTGTTAATCAACCTGGATTAAATTTAGGACATGTCCATTTATAGCTGTCTTCCCAGAAATGCTATTAATGGAAATAATAAGTAATGTGTCTGAGAAGTAAACTGTAAGCAGATTGATCTGTGGATCTGTGGGTGCTTATCGGTTCCAAGCAGCAGGGTTTGATCTCCTGCAAAGAGACACCCACAGTGTCCTGGAGAGTTTTGTTCACAGAGCTACAGGATCTTAGCTTCTTTTTCAAGCAATTATCTATCAGTCTCCTCAGCATTCAGTGCAAAATGCAGAAGCACCATTTACCCACTTATCAGTTGGAAGACTAAAATTCTCTTTCTCAATTTCAATTGTTAAAAAAACACACCTCTTTTTTTTTATTTTAATAGTTTCATATAGCTAGTTTTGAGCTGCTCAGAACTGCTTCTTTTCCTGTGTTCAGCTTTGAGAAGCAGGCCCTCCTCACAAAAGCTGTTATGTTAGTAAAGAGAATCTTGGAAATATTAGGAGAAATTTCCTCCCTTGAAATTACAAAATAAGGCTGGTAGAGTTCTGCCTTGTGAACTGTCCTTGCATGAAAGGTCCAGACTCCTTTCTAAGGTCAATACCTCCTGCTTTGTACTTGATCTTATCCTTTTGAACTGCTCAAGGGCATGTTTCTGGAATTCTTGCTGCTCCTTCTATTGCACTCTCACTGTTCCTTCAGCACTTGATCTTCCCCGTCAGCATACAAACATGCTGTTCCTGCAGAATTCTAGAGCCATCTGAGGACATCTGATAGAAGGCCATTAAAATGACTTCATCTATTCTTAAAATACCTCCCAGTTGGCTCTAGAAAATGAGAGAATTGAAATTCTTGAAGTAATTGTATTCATATGAGACTCAATCTCAAAATTGGGTCCCACCCAACACTTACCTGAATCAGCATTTGCATTTTAACAAGATCCCTGACTATATTATACAAGTTTGAAAACCACTGGACTAGACAAGTGGCTCTCAACAACTAGGTTCACTCGAGGAGTTTTAAAAAACACACATCCTGCCGAAACCGGTTTGGCTCAGTGGATAGAGCGTCGGCCTGTGGACTGAAAGGTCCCAGGTTCGATTCCGGTCAAGGGCATGTACCTTGGTTGCGGGCACATCCCCAGTGGGGAGTGTGCAGGAGGCAGCTGGTCGATGTTTCTCTCTCATCAATGTTTCTAACTCTCTATCTCTCTCCTTTCCTCTCTGTAAAAACTCAATAAAATATATAAAAAAATAAAAATAAAAAAATAAATAAATAAATAAATAAATAAAAACACATCCTGATGTCCAG